CGAACTAAGAAGTGGGCAATAGATTGCTAAGTGCAATCAGTATGTTTTGATGTACTCGATACGTAATGAGGGATCATCTCTACAATGAAAATTTGCAGATCTCCAGCAATTTACACCCTCAAATTACTGTGCTGATCTAACAAAGGAGACTGTATGAGTCAAGTACCTGGATGTGCATCTTACCAATGGTCCATAAAGCAATCAATTGTATAGTTCCTCCATCCTGAAGAGGAATTTTCAGGGATTGTAACTGAACATGTCCTTTGAATACATTTCAAACGTTTTGATTGCTTAGTCCCTTCTCGCCAAAAACCTATATGGTTATAGTGTCTCAAGCCCCACTGTAAACAACCCATGGTTTCCATACACTGCACTGATGATTCCCAAATAATGTAAAACAGTTTAAAATAAAGGTCTCCAAAATATTAGGCTACGTTTTTACTATGCAACCGCAGTTCTAGGTGTGCATCTGGCCAGTGGGGCACAAAGCAATGATTTTCATGGCTACGGCCACTATCTTGAAATGAGGAATGTGCCTCTTAATATCGTGATATGCGATTGGGAGTGAGACATGGGAACACGACCTGCTATAAGAAGGCTTTCAAGTGCTGAGCAAAGTACCGTAAGCCACAATAGCCAGATAAAAAAAAAAAATCACCATTGGCTGTAATCTGGCTGGTTGGTTGACTGGACTGGAAGTAGCCTGATGTAAACACGCAGTGGAGTCCATTTATACCTAGTTGCCCATGGAGCTGATAGGTGTCCCCTCTGCTGAAACTAAGCGGCACAGATGCCCTTCTCTGATCAGCTCACAGATCCCCCTGCTAATTGGAGTGGAATCCACTCTATGTGAAAGAGGTCTTTAAGGCTAGGTTCATATCTCTGTAATCTGATTTGGTCCAATTTTCAGTGTGGTAATGTAGTGCGACTTGTTTTTTATGTCATTGGCATATTCTATAGGGCCCAAATCACTCAAATCATCACACCGTGCTGCATTGCATCAATGAATCTGCACCAATGAAAACAAAGTGATTTCCATTGTCATGAGATTGTGTGTGACTGAAATGGCACTAGTGAAAACAGCGAGCCCAGCTTTTGCATGTCAGGATAATAAAGTGGAATCTAGGTGGAAACCTTAAAGTGGTTCTAAAGGCTGATGCTTTTTTACCTTCTTGCATTCTATGTATGAAGGTAAAAAGAGTTCTGTGGCGAACACAAGATCGCTGTCACCAATATGTGACGAGCGCGGCGTCAGACCCCAGCCCTTCTCACCAAACTCGTGACCGAAGGACTAGCCAATCTAAAACCGCGATGTCACGTGCGTAACAATGCCACACCCAGCTGCACCCTGCACAACGATTTTCCAGCTAATTGGACCACAATCTATGTACCGGCAGCCTGGCCGCGATTGTTACTGGGTCAGGTTTATTACGCAATTAACCCTTCACACTGCCACCACCTCCTTTTTGTACAGAGAAAGAGGAAACTCAATATCAGCTATAACACTTTAATGGTTGAGATAATCGTCTGTATAACATGATCAACGCAGGCTGGTTACACAGAGGGTTAAACAAACACAGTAGCGCTCTTTTCAGAGGCAGGAATTCGTAAACTGCAATAAAGAGCTATAGAAACAGTTCAACACTTTCAGAAGGAAAAATTTATTACTAAAAAATCAAACGGGTGCAATAAAAATATTTACAGAAAAAGATGTAACCAATATGTAAATATATATATATAAAAATATACAGAGAACAATAGAACAGCAAACAGATAATAGAAAGGAGGTTAAAGGGTTAAAGTACTTGCCAAAGTCCTGGGTTAGCAGATCAAGTTTCAGAGCAAAAGGGCACGGGTCTCCCCAGGTGGTCCTGATGTTAAAAGAGGGAATTCTTCAACTTAACTTTCTTAGGCCTGACAACCCAATTTGTAGTTCCCTAGCAGGGGGGTGTCTCTGAAGTCAAGGACCAATGCCCCGTTTAGGGAGGGATCGTCGGGGCGGATACGTAAACTAGAGCCAAAATCTCTCATAGTTCATATTTTGGCTTATAACTTTCCATATGCATAAGTGACACTCCACCCGCGGGTAGATTATTATGCCGACACGTCTGAGGATTGATTAGATATGAAATTCTACACTGAATGGTTCACGAGATCTACTTTCTGCTTTCCTATGTATTCCAACCACGGAGAGTGACCTATCAAAATGTTCATCTCCTCTTGGCCAATCTGACGATAGGCCTGGTTTTTATGTAAGTCTCTCATATTCCAAGATAGGAGACATAGGGGAAAAATTGATTTTTAAAAAGGTTATCTGGTTCGATGTCTTTTGAACTCCTGGGAAGGCTGCGTTATCTTTTTACAAGGTGTTAAATGGCACAGGTTCTTTGGACAGTGAGGCCCCAGCTCCCTTGGGGTTTTACAGCACGTAGCCCCCTGCTGGGCTCTGGCCTGTGACACTTTTAACACACAGGCCATATGTCACTGTGACTCTCAGAGAGGGAGGGGAGAGGGAGAATTCTTAACAAAATGGAGGGTTGGAGCAAAATGGTTGAACTGCGTCCATTGAATGTGTACGCTTGCTACAAGTTAAGTATGCAGCTCCCCCCTCAGCCCTTCCTAATAGTTACCTGAGCCCAATCTTGATGCAGCGATGTGCACAAGACCAGCAGCCCTCCCAGGTCTCTCCCCTCCTCATTGGTTCTTGTCATTGGCTCCCGCTCCTGTCAATCACAGCCAGTAAGGAGGAAGCAGAGGGGGGGATGGGGGGAACCATGGTGTGTGTGTGTTTTATAGATCTACAGAAGTGATTTGGAAGTGAGCATGCACAAGTGCCTCCCAGAGCAACATCTTGCTCTAGGGTCACTCAGCAGGGGGGAGAAGCCAGGAGCAGCTGCGGGGGACCCAAGAAGAGGAGGATTAAGGGCTGCTCTGTGCAAAACCACTGCACTGAGCAGGTAAGTATGACATATTTGTTATTTTTAAAAGATAAAGCTGAGCATTTAATGTCACTTTAACTGCTAGTATAAACAGCACTCAATCACATCAAAACATGTGAACACAAACCAGGGAGGTGATCCGTTGTAAATATATGCTCATACAATGTTGTCTTTTTTTGTTTTGTGTAATTGTGGATGTATTAATTTAACAAAGAGGATGACAAAGCTGTTACTGACATGTCTGGTTTCCTTTACCTGGTTGTCATAATGGGGCAAAAAGTAGGATAAATCTCTGTGAATGATTCGTACTTAAAGCTAGGTTCACATTTGTGCGTCATGGAATACACACTAAGGGAAAATGTCACCAGCACACCAAGGATCACCAATATGGTTCCAAAAGATTTAATGAACGATCACATAGTTACAGCAAGGCAACGTTTTGGAGTCTCGCAGGACCCTTTCATCAGGCATGTGACCCAAAGGTCAAAGGTGAACCCATTGAATTGAGCAAACCCGTAGCAGTCCATTTTATTTCGGGAGGACACCAGGTACATGAATTGAGGGGCATGACCATGGAATACGTTAGTCGATCTGCGAGAGGAGGAGATCGTGACAACTTCCTCCTCCATCGTGAAGCCTATTGGATCCATAACCTCGACACAACCGAGGGGACTTAATATTAACACATCATATTTCTGAATTTTGGATCGCAGGTGAACTTTGGTTAGGATGATTCCTCATGATTGAAGTGTATATAGTTTTGTAGATAACTTTTGGTTTAGATTTGTTAACATTCGCACTATTCACAGCGGTCTCTCTTTCTCCCAGGTCACATGCCTGATGAAGGGGTCCTGCGAGACTCCGAAACGTTGCCTTGCTGTAACTATGTGATCGTTCATCAAAACTTTTGGATCCATATTGGTGATCCTCGGTGTGCTAGTGACATTTTCCCTTGCTGATTCTGTCCGGTTCCAGCCGACAGTCGCTGCAGCACCCACACTTATACACACAGCCATTGTTAATGCAGGACCGTGTGCATTTGGATTGTATACTTGCATGAGAATACACACTGTCGCACCTGCATAAGTGTGCAGAGAGCCTAAAAATCATTTGTATTATAGAAATAAAAGGTTTATTGGGCAATCTAGTTGAACTGCACAGAACGTCTTACCCGGGTGTAGACCAAGGCTATATCTGCATGGACATGTGAACTGAGACACCTCCAGGTGCTCTGCCACAAACTGACATCTGTATAATACGCCTGTAATATGTAAGTGTGAGTGAAAGACTGCAGGGTCAACTGACTGCAAGCTTCACTGGGCCAGGAACTGTACTGAATAATTTATTGTTCTATATAAAGCACTAAAGAGTACGTCAGTGCTACATACATAAATAACTGCAACAAGAATGTAACGTGTATATATAGTAAAATGTATGCAAAGCATTTTTATTCAGTGCCATTATTCATCTATGCATTAACGTGTGTAAGGAACATGAAATATCATCCAGAGGTTTGTAAACTGTAAGCTAAGAATGAATTAAATAATTTTGTGACCAATGTATTATTGCTGGGAGTCCCAGATTTCAGCAGGTATATGTGGAATTTTCTGATCTGTATTTCCAGTAAGTTTCAGGGGTTTTCTTTTTTTTAAATAAATGATGTAACAGCTGACTTTTAAAGAAGGGGTAGAGTACTTACCAGAGTCCATGGTTGTCTGTCTTTCTTCAGTCCCTGGGGGTCCTCAATGCCTCCATCCTGGATATGGGAGCCGATTGTGGGTTTCTGAGGAACCACAGCCAGCTCCCCACTATACATGTGTGGTGCTCTGTGAATGGCCCTGCAGCCTCCTGGGACATGTGACCTGTCTCAGGATGCTGTGGGATGGGCAGGAGGGGGCAACGGGTACCACTGAAACTAATAAAAAAAAAATATTCTCTCTCCCTCCTCCCCCAAAAAACCTGCAACTCAGTTAGAGGCTGGGGGAAGGAGCAAAAAAACTGGTAATTCACTGTCTGAATGAAGTTCCAATTCAAAACAGTCAGAAATAAGAGTTCATTTGAGGTCTGATAATTGCTGCTGCATTGTCAGAAGCCTGAACTCTGAAGCTGAATGCACAAAGAGGGACATTTACCAAGCAAATTAGAAACACATTTAGGGTCCTTTCATATGGGCATTCCATTTTTTTTTCATCAGATCAGTCACATTTTTCAAAGAAAAAATGAATCCGTTTTTTTCATCCACTACCAATGCAAAAAGGGACCGTTTGTCCATTTACACCCGTTTTTCATCTGTTCCGTTGAGAAACAAAATAGGGCTTTGATCCGTTCCAAAAAAATAGATGCGGATGTAAATGGATGATCATCTATTTACATCTGTTTTTCCATGGAGATGCACTGATGTCCGTTTTTCCTCCATCAACAGATGGAGGAAAAACAGACAAATGGAACGCCCATGTGAAAGGGGCTTTAGACTGTCTGTTCGCTATCCAAGTCTATGCAACAGATTCTTGTGTATATGTGCAACACCGTTGTCTGTAATCCTGGACAACAAACTGCAACAGATTTGCACAGATCTGGGGAATGTTTGTTCTATTGTATTGTTATATTAGAGCAGCTGAGAGGAACTTATGAACAGGGGCGGACTGACCATTCAAGCACTTGGGCACTGCCCGAGGGCCCGGGGTCAGTAGGGGGCCCCATGAAATTCCCCTGGTACCTTTTTTTATAGGCTTTTTTGAGTGTGGGCAAGGACACAGGGGCCACATGATCCCATATTGCCCAGGGGCCCCATGAGTTGTCAGTCCGCCCCTGCTTATGAATGAAGCTCCCTAAGGTCTCATACACACTGAACATTTTCTTAACTCTCCTAGAAGACTTTAGTCCTGGCAGCAGCATTTTTGGCAAGAAAAAAAGGGTATGAAGTGTTTAAGAGCGACATCAAGCATTTAGGCATTAATTAATTTCACTGGCAAGAATAAAAAAATGTATTCTGCCCATTTAAATGAACGTTCAAGCGCTAAACGTGGCAAATGTCAATGCATGTTTAGACACACTTACATGCATTTAGAAGCGTCAAAGTTTTTTTCTGCCAAACTCTGCTGCTCCTGGATGCACTGGCAGTGGGGTTTTTTTTTTCTGCCTCTAAACTCTCCTGCTACTAAACTCCTCTAAGTTATGTATGAATGAACACAGACTAACATGCAGGGGAACTTAGAGGCAGGAAATATTAAAAACAAAAAAACACAGACACCCCTAGGAGCAGCTGTAAAAATGTCCAGTGTACATGAAGTTAGTATACAGTTGTGCTCAAAAGTTTGCATATCCTGACAAATTTTGGCATTGATATTGAAAATATGACTGATCATGCCAAAAAATGCTCTTTTATTGAAGGATGATGATCATATGAAGCCATTTATTATCAAATAGTTGTTTGGCTCCTTTTTAAATCATAATGATTACAGAAATCACCCAAATGGCCCTGATCAAAAGTTTACATCCCCTGGAATGTTTGGCCTTGGTACAGACACACAAGGTGACACACACGGGTTAAAATGCCAACTAGAGGTTAATGTCCCACATCTGTGGCTTTTTAAATTGCAATTAGTGTCAGTGTATAAATAGTCAATGAGTTTGTTAGCTCTTACTTGGAAGCACTGACTAGGCTAGATACTGAGCCATGGGAATCAGAAAAGAACTGTCAGAAGTCCTGCGTAACAAGGTAATGGAGCTATATAAAGATGGAAAAGGACATAAAAAGATGTCCAAAGCCTTGAATATGCCAATCAGTACTGTTAAATCACCTATTAAGAAGTGGAAAGTTCCGGGATCTCTTGATACCAAGGCAAGGTCAGGTAGACCAAGAAAGATTGCAGCCATAACTGCCAGAAGAATTGTTCGGGATACAAAGGGAAACCCATAGGTAACCACAAGAAAAATACAGGCTGCTCTGGAAAAAGACAGTGTGGTTGTTTTGAAGGAGCACAATATGATGACACTTGAACAAAAATGAGCTGCATGGTCGAGGTGCCAGAAAGAAGCTTTTACTGCACCAATGACACAAGAAGGCCCGGTTAGGCATGTCAAGGTGTTGTCAGGCATATTGTAACAGGGCTTTTTTGTGGCATTGGTGCAGTAAAAGCTTCTTTCTGTCACTTCAACCAAACAGCTTATTTTTGTTCAAGTATCACCGTATTGTACTCTGCAGCCTGTTTTTTTTTTAGGTTGCCTGTGGGTTTTTCTTTGAATCCCGGACAATTCTTCTGTCAGTTATGGCTGCAATCTTTCTTGGTCTACCTGACCTTGGCTTGGTATCAAGAGATCCCGAACTTTCCACTTCTTAATAGGTGATTTAACAGTACTGATTGGCATATTCAAGGATTTGGACATCTTTTTATGTCCTTTTCCATCTTTATAAAGTTCCATTACCTTGTTACGCACGACTTTTGAACCGTTCTTTTCTGATCCCCATGGCTCAGTATCTTGCCTAGTCAATGCTTCCAAGTAAGAGCTAACAAACTCATTGACTATTTATACACTGACACTAATTGCAATTTAAAAAGCCACAGATGTGGAACATTAACCTCTAATTGGCATTTTAAACCATGTGTGTGACCTTGTGTGTCTGTACCAAGGCCAAACATTCCAGGGGATGTAAACTTTTGATCACGGCCATTTGGGTGGTTTCTGTTATCATTATGCTGAAAAAAGGAGCCAAACAACTATTTGATAATAAATGGCTTCATATGATCATCATCCTTTAATAAAAGAGCATTTTTTGGCATGATCAGTCATATTTTCAATATCAATGCCAAAATTTCACAATTTCTGCCAGGGTATGCAAACTTTTGCGCACAACTGTATGTCTCAAAACTGCTACAAACCTACCTCACTGTTCTGTTTAACATTGGTTAGCTGTGCGACAGATATGATAAATGCACCTAATACGGTCTTTCAGCTCCTGTGTGCATAACTGTATCAAATAGAAAAGCATACGCAATGTTTACATGTATCTTAAAACTTAATGTACACCTAAATTCTTACAAAATAAAACAAAAACACCCCACACAAAAATGTCATACTTACCTGCTCTTGGCAAAGCAGACCGTATGTTGAGAATGCATGAAGATAAAAACACCTTCTATATTTACAACCACTTTAGGCTATGGTGCTCTGTTTAATTAAACTTAAAGTGAGACCACCACTTTAATGTGCTTTGTTCTCCAGGGTCTCTGCATGTCTAAGGCTAGCTGTGAGGTCAAAAAAAGGACATCCCCTCCTACTTTGATGGGTGGCAGTTTTCTCTCCGTTTTATCTCAAAGCACTTGTCCACTTGCCTGGAACAATTTAGCTGATGCCTCCCCTCTTGCATGCGTTGCGTCTCTGGTAAATGTTCGAAGGCAAAAAAAAGTACAAATTGTCAAAACAGCCATCTACTTTCTAGCTGTGTTCTCATGGCTCTGGAAGGAGGAAGGGTGCCCTGTCCAGCTAGCTGCTAGCAATAATCAGATGTGAAATTCCGCAGGCTGGTTGCACCCAAGTTGATCGATCAGTCAAATTGGCTACATTTAGCCTGCCCATGGATGGTTCGAATCTCAGCTGGTTCCTGCTGAATCGGCTGAGATTCAAACCATCCATGTCCAACTTTAGAAAGCAATCGAACAAACTACTAAATCTGCTTTATCCCCGAGGGAACAGGGCAAATGAATAAAAATGGAAGTGAGACTTTTCCCCTCTCAATCCTAAAAACTCAAAGTAAATCTAAGCAAGGGGACAAATGTTAAATATTTTATAAAGAATTAAAGTATCGGAGGGATCCTTAGGACCTGATGTGTTAGGATACGAGTTTTACTGGTGATTCTGACCATACCGTTCTGAGTATCTTATATGTATGTACTGCGATTCTGCACGATCTCTGTATAGGACAAAAAAGCTCCTTCTGTTTTTTGGTTTATATGGCCTATAACCTCAGTTGTTGTAACTATTGTATTCTTTTCTTTTTTTTTATTGTTTTGTTGTCTGAAATGTTCATATGGCGGTCGGCTTGGCGTTTGCTGCTGCTGATATTGTTTTGCTACGTCATAGCTTTATTTTCTATTTGTTGCTAAGCTGTTTGACTTGCAAAAATACTTCAATAAAAATGACTTCTTAAAAAAAAGAATTAAAGTACAGTTCTAATTTAGGGCTAAATGTTCAATTTGTAATGGAAGCCTAGTGGAGATTGTGTCTCTTAAGAGCATGTTTTGTACAAACAAATCCTCACTAACAACCAAAAACATCTAGCTCGGCAAGAAGTGGCACACAAAACATTCTGTGTTCAAAATATTGACTCACTGACGACAACAGACTGCATGGATCCTTGAGACCAAACAACGCTCTGGTTGCCTTCAGTTAAATGATACAACATGTCTTTGCTCTTGCCGTTCACAAATGGACAAATTGTGCAAAAAGCCTTTTATTTTTCATCCCTGCAAAGCATTATTATTCATATTACAATTCTCTTAAGAAAGGAGAGGCTCCTTGGTGGTAATGAAACGGTTAAATGTGCCAGCTGTGCCTTGGGCAGAGACGATAATTATCATGTGGAATAATTACAAGCTCCTAAATACACTAACCTTTCAGTGCCAAGAAGCGTTTCGCAATGTTTCCCAGTCCTGCTGGAAAACGGCTAGCTTTAAAGTGATTGGTCACCGCTGAACAGGAGCAACGAAATCAAAGATGCTATTGCTGCTTTCAGGGCTATTCAAACAGACAGAACACATTCTAACCCAGCAGTAATTTCCCACTTAATCTCTGGGGCACGCTTGCTGAGCTGTTCAGATTAATTCTGCACAGAGCGAATGCGCGCTCACTAGACAATAGGCCATAATCCCGCTGTTAGGAGGACAGTATAAAACCTCCTTATAGAAAGGAATATCAGCATTATAATTACAAGGAGAAAGGATAAGAGCGACCTTCCTGAAAGGCACCAAATTAGCATGATAGTAACTATTTTAAGCCCCCGAACATTCACACAGAGCTTTCTAAGGCCTCTGCTCTCCAGTCATCCAAAGACAAAGAAACATTGCTTATGTCCTATATTTTTTTTTTTTTTTTTTTTTTACATCTTTCAAACAGAACACAATGCTCACAGATCAAAGACCTAAAAAAAAAAAAATTGCATGCCGCTGTTAACAGTACTCCCTGCAAGGTCACCCAGATGAGTCATACAGCCGAGCTGTCAGGGATTGAAGCCCCATTACACTGGGTGAGTGGATATGCAGTCTGCCACGACAGCAGCTGAAAGCATTTCTTGTATAAACGGACCATGTAAACCTAAACATCTAGGCACACGCAAACATTCAAAGCATGTGTACTCACTGAACACAAACCCTACATAATACAGCATTATACAGACAAGAGATTAAAACATTCTGGATGTGTAAGATTTCTGTAAAATAAATCCTCCTTGAGGGAAACTTCAACCAAGAGAAATTTGTGGGCTGCCAATATTTACTTCTAACTAACTGCCTGGCTGTCTCTGGCTGCAATACTTTAAAGAAGAGCTCCACCCAAAAGGGGAAGTTCCGCTTTAAGGACTGCTCCCCCGCTCCCCATTAGGTTTGGCACCTTGGGGGGGGGGGGGGTACCAAATTTGAAAGGTACCAGCTCCCACTTCTGGTCCGATCACCTAGGAGATCGGAAGGTGTCCCCTCCCTCCCTACCTGTAGTCTTTTGGGACACGTGACAAGTGCCAGAAGACTACAGGACCATTCATGAAGCGCAGCACTACTCGCGCATGCGCAGTGGGTATCCAGCTGTGAAGCTGCAAGTTGTCACAGCCGGGTGCCCACACTGCCGGCCTCTTGGAATACAGAATGGCCGGTGAATCGGGTTGCGGGGGACACACCACGGGACCGAAGGACAGGTAAGTGGCTGTTTTTTAAAAGTCAGCAGCTACAGTTTTTGTAGCTGCTGACTTTTATTTTTTGACAGGTTGAGGGGAACTCCGCTTTAAGTCACAGATTAAGAACTAGGGAGAATGTCACCAGCACACCGAGGATCACCAATATGGGTCCAAAAGTTTTAATGAACAATCACAGTTACAGTAAGGCAACGTTTTGGAGTCTTGCAGGACCCCTTCATCAGGTCTGTTGTCTGATGAAGGGGTCCTATGAGACTCCGAAACGTTGCCTTACTGTAACTATGTGATTGTTCATTAAAATGTTTGGACCTAAATTGGTGATCCTCGGTGTGCTGGTGACATTCTCCCTTGCTGATTCTGTTCGGTTCCAGCTGATGGTCGCTGCAGCACCCTCTTAATACACCCAGCCAGTTTTAACGCAGGAACGTGTGCGTTTGGATTGTACACTTACAGATTAAGAACAAGCACGTTGCATGTAAAAGTCAGGGTGAATGAAAACAGTATGAAACCAAAAAACAAACATTATGTTGCTGCTTACCAATACGTGGATGGGACGTTTGTATTAGTTTCCTTTTTGGTTTTCTTCTGTTTTCATCTGGTGATTTAGCCAGCAGCTCTGCTGTTTATCAGAAGTTCAAGCTCTCCAGCAGAATGTATCAGCTTGCATGGATAAGACCATCCATTTACCACTGGGCATGGGTGATTAAAATGATCAGCTTTTATTTATTCATGTAAAACATTTTGTCCTTTTGGGATAAAGTATTAGCTGGAGCTGAAGTAAAATCAGTCTGTGTATGCAGAAAAGCATGCTTGATATACTCACTGAGGAACCTAAGGGGTTAATCCTCTGCATTGTGTAAAAAGGATGTTAGATCCTGTCTTCTCTGATACTCCCCTTCTTCCAGCATCCCCCTCTTATCTCCTGATAAGACATATTGTGGAGACACTCTGCACATGCTCAGTTTGGTGTGTATGGCTAGAGAGGTCTTTTTTTTTTTTTTCTTGGGAGAGTGCATGTGATCAGCACAGGGCCAATCAGCACTGTCCTGCCTGAGGTCAAGGGTTCTGTATCCTCCTAGAGCAGAAAGAAAAGCCTCCTAAAAGCGTTAACCAGTGCTCCGCTGAACACTGATAGAAGTCAGAAGACTGCTCTAACTGCTGATGAGAAAATGTATTTAGCAGTTTTTATTTACTAAAATAAGTGAATTTCCATGTCCTGTGGGAGACCAGATACAGTGAATGCAGGGTCCTGGGTTTAATAAAACTTTAAGTTTCTCGGAGTTGGGTTTAAAGTGGTAATAAACAAAAACAAAAAAACTGTTACTGTAACTGCCAATAAAAGTGTTAGATGCATAAGATGGACTTGACCGACAAATTGGACTGAACTCCAGCTAACACTATCCTTTCTCCAGATTGACAATGCTACTGTCCAAGGGGGTCTCCATTGCTCCTCCATCCAGGGTGGAGGCACTCTAATACAAGTGTGTAACTGGCCATATCACCAGGAGAAAATAAAGTAAAAAAAAAAAAAGCCTAAAAAAGAAAACAAAAGGACAGGTAAACAATAT